TATTAGAGTAGCAGCTCATTGTAGATTTAAGGGCCCATATGATCTCAGCATTAGTTGATAACAATGATTTAATTAAAGAGACAATAGTTGCTTGTTTAATGGTGAAAAATATAGATATTTTTTCTTCACTTCCAAGTGGTTCAGCATGCAACTCTTTTCCATTAATAAAGAAACAACTAACAGGCTTTGTAGCAGACTGATGTTTCTTACCTAAAACAAGATAAATAAATAATGACACATTTAAAATGTCTAAAATTTTTTATCTTTTTTCTCTATCTGTTTAGCTTGCAAAGTTTGAAATAACAATATAAGCAACCAACCAACAAGGAAAACAACTGAAACAGATTGCAATCAAAAGTTGATTACAATGTGTTTGAAACTGATATTAAAATATAAAATAATGAATAAATCAAGCAACATTTCTTTTTAATTCTCACTCTCACATTAAAAAAGTTAATGTAAATACCTGCTGCATGACTTTTATCAGCCTGAATACCCATATTGGACAATTCAAATAATTTTTTACATTTTTTGCAATGAGCTTTAGTTTTTGCATGTGCGTTGGGAACTAACCAATCTTTATAAATATCTTGTTGTAACCAATCCTCTTGAAAATAAGTCTTTTCTGAAGTCATGTTATATATTTATATATTAATTTATACATTTAGCTAAACATATAGTTACTATATAATATAAAAGTTAAAAAACCATTTTAATGAGCAATTTTCAACAACAATAAACACTCAAAATGTGTATTTTGCAAAATAACTTCAAGCTAAATATAAAACTAAAAAATATTCCCTGAGTTTTCCCTGATTTTACAGATTTTTTACAAATATTCCCTGACTTTTCTAGGTATTCCCTGATTTTCTAAATTTTTAAAACTTTTCCCTGGTTTTCCATGTTTTCCCTGAGTGTCATGAACCCTGTATTATTTTTTTACTCATTACTTTAAATCAACAGAAAACGAACGACGAGTTTTTTTTTTGCACAGAAAATTTTTTTTTACGGTCATAAAAATTGAAAAGAAGCCAAGCTAAAGCAGTAAAAAATCCTTAAGAGCACGCTTAACAACTTTTTTTTGAACTATTTAAAGGTGTCATTGATTGAATTGATTAAAGTGAGCAAAACTCAAGAAAAAAAAAAACTATATATATTTAGAACTATTACATTTAACTGATATTTTTAGGTGCGCGTTTATTAATACAAATTAAACGATTTTAAAATATGTCATAATATAATATTCATTTCATCAGTTAAAGTATGTTATTTCTTAGAATCTTGCTAAAATAAGGCATAATTATATAAATAACCATAATTATAAAATTAATTGAAAAAAACAGCTTCTTGTTTACATGCTTCTTATAGTACTTGTAATTTACTATGTTTACATTTGTATCTAGTTTAATTTTTTAAAATGTAAACATAGTAAAACTTCGATTTCAATTCGCTTTTAAAATTCTAATCAGAACGATTAAAGAACGAATATAAATTCGAAACGGCAGCGGTGCACGTGTCTGATTTCTTCATTACTTCATTTAAAACATTAAATAAAACTATAAAGAACAAAGTTTTTTTTTTTTTTTTTAGTTGATAAAAAATAACACATGTTTTATACATGTGTTATTTTTTATCAACTAAAAAAAAAAATTAACTCATAGTATATGTTAAATTAAACAATACATAATAAATTTTTTTACTCAGCAACGCATATGATTTCAAATATAGCGATTACAATACTTTTACTCAGTAACGCATATGATTTCAAATATAGCGATTACAATACTTTTACGTAGAGTAAGTACAATACTTTAGAAAAAAAATACTCAAGTAAAAGTGAAAGTACACATTTAAAAAAATACTTAAAAAGTAGAAATTCACAAAATAACTACTCAGTTACAGTAACGTAATTCGTTACTTTCCACTTCTGCAGCCCACACTGGGATTTTTGTGTATCGCCGTAATTGCTTAAACAATTAACCCACTGACGGCAATTTCTTGAAAAGTACCATAACTTAATGCCTTGATGAAAACTATTTGAAAACTATTTGAAAAACTTCTACACCTTATGAGTACCGTGGTCTTTTACAATATATATTTTTTTGGATTATTCTCCACTACTAACTCCTCTTGAAAAAAATACATTTTTATTAATTAACAGTTTCTTAGATGTTTGACATCTAGTAAAGTTGTCTTACCACTAGGCTTGCCAATTTTTTGCTTCTGCTTCCATTCTTTATTCATAAATATTATATTTGTATAAGCCAGCCTAATTATAATAGAGCTTAAAAATTTTCTCCCGAAATGTTTTCCTAACTCATACATCTTACTGTTTTTTATGTCTTCTGTCAAGGGTTTACAGAAATAAAGGTAGAAAAATTGGTTAAAGAGATCTAAAAAGCAAGGACGCTAAAGCAGTTTCTCTCCCCCCTTCCTTTTTTTATTTTGTTTATTTTATTGCTGAATATGATAGAGAATTTTATGCTGATTAAGAATCGTATAAAAACATAGGTCTGAAAATTAACAGAAAGTGCTCTAATTCGGTGTTAAAGTTTAAAAAATTAGAAGTTTAAAAGAAATGAAATTAAAAAAAAGCAAGAAAGTGGTTGACTCAACCACTTTTTTGCTTTTGACTTTTAACAGATTAAATTTCTCAACAGATTAAACAACAGGTTAAACAAGCAAACTGTCTTCTTGGTGTAAAACCACACAGTTATCCAAATTACCCTTTTATTAATGTAAAATTATAAAATAACAGTAATTAAATGTCACTTTGGCGTGAATTTCTTAATTTAAGAAACTGCATTTTCTCAACAAAAAAAAACTTTGTGCAGAGTAGAAATAAACTCCCATTTTTGAAAGATGCTATGGCTAATATAACTTAAATATTGTCTTTAAATATTTATAAATGTATTTATGTTTAATCCATTTGTTTATCCATTTTAGAAAGATGAGTGCATCATCATTATTATTAAATATAAGAAAGATATCAGCATGTCCTTTCTAACAGACCAATTTTTCATAATTATCTATTTATTTCCTGATATTTTCATCTAAGCTCATAAATAGGTTACCAAAATGAAATTAAAAAAAACTCCATGGGAACTCTGTAAACTTGATCAAAAGTTTTATAAAATAAAAAAATGCATGTTAAGTTAAGAATTCAAACAATTTTTTAAAATCAGGTTTGAAGATGTTAATGATCAGCAAACTTTGTAAAGTTAAATGAACATCAATTAAAATGTTTTCATTAAAAAGAACATTAGTTTTTTATTGTGAAACAAATCTAATGAATATTTAATGGTAAGATTTAGAAATTCTTACCTAATTAAGTTTATAAAATATTCTCTAACAATCAGTTTTTGATCTTCTCGTTATATGGCTGACTTGGTGCATTGGACAGCTAGACAAGGGCTATTGCTCTTGACATATCAAAAGTTTTCAATAAAGTTAGGCATGCTGGTCTTACCCACAAGCTTGCTTTATATGGTGTATCTGGGAGTGTTTTTGAGATTATTTTTTTCTAACTGCAGTATTAAAGTAATCCTCGAAGGCTAACAATCTTCTTTATTTCTAATAATTTCTATGATGCATCAAGGTTCTGTCTTTGATCCTGCGTATCTACCTTAATAATCTTCCTTGATCCTGTCTATCTGCATAAATAATTTTCTCTTATATCTAAAGTAACAGCATTTTGTTATTTTACTGATGACGCAACTTTATAATCCTGTTTGCTGATGACTCAACTTTATACTCCTGTCTTGACAAAAAGTCTTCTCTTTTTAATCACTTAAAACAGATCTTGAGTCTGATCTCTCTTCTGTAACAGCTCGGGTGACAAGCTACATTCCTGTTGAAATACTGTTGTTATTGTTGGGCTGATTCTTGATACTTTTACTCTTCTAGACAAGGTCCAAAAATGCATTTTAAATGTAATTACACCTGTTCTATCTTCCGAGCTTGAGCCACTCTCCCATTGTTGAAAGGTTGCTTCTCTTTTTCGTTTCTTCAAATAATATCATAGTCACTGCTAAACCAAATTATCTAGTTCTATTCTATTTTGTCAAAACTTATTCTCGCTTGACTACTCGTCAGCAAAGTTTCATCTTTTTACTGTGTCTGTTCCTTCATTCTCTAAAAACGTTTAATTGTTTAGTTTTTTCCCCGCGTATCAATGCTCAATTTATATGTATATATATGTATATGTATGTATATATATAGTTATATGTATATATATGTATATGTATATGTATGTATATATATATATATATTTATATATATATATATATATATATATATATATATATATATATATATATATATATATACATATATATGTATATATAGATATATATATATATATATATATATATATATATATATATATATATATATATATATATATATATATATATATATATATATATATATATATATAGCAATTAATTTGATCCCTTGTAAAAGCAATTTTTTAATGATTTATATAAATTTTACTGAAGATAAACTATGTAGTTTAATTTTGCTGTGAGCATATATTCAGCAAGAGTGCTCGATATATTATATCAGCTATATAATTGATTTTTTGACAAGGTTAAATAAAAAATAACTACATAATTTTTACTACTCAAAGTTTCATGTGTTTAGCAATTATCAGTTAAAAAATACATGCATGTATTTTTTACCTGATGATTGCTAAATGCATGAAACTTTTAGTCGTAATAATTATGTAGTTATTTTTTATTTAACCTTGTCAAAAAATCAATTATATATATATATATATATATATATATATATATATATATATATATATATATATATATATATATATATATATATATATATATATATATATATATATATATATATATATATATATATATATATATATATATATATATATATATATATATATATATATATATATATATATATATATATATATATATATATATATATATGTATATATATATATATATAATATATATATATTTGTTTTTTAGCAGCAGGAATCGCAAAAAGTTGCCAAGAGCATTTTGATAATGGGTTTACTCAAACTGGAATATTCAAAATTATTCCAAATGGCTTTCCAATTGAGACTATGTGTGAAATGGATAAAGTTGAGCGTAAAAATCCTAAATGTGAGTTTTTTTGGTAGTAAAATTAGGGTGACCAGACATACTCTTTTTTTTATACTCTCTCTTTTTCTAAAAACCACTAAATATACTCTTTTTTTTTAAACTAATGATTTTAGAAATTTATTTGAAATGAATAATATATGATTTTGCGCAGATTTAAGCAGTATTTTTTTTCTAAGCTGATATTTCTTTTACTATGACAACAATTTGAACTTGTGGATGCATTGAGACAAGTTAAGTTTATAAAATTGAGAGAGTGTAAATTTTCAGATATATATTTGAAGAAACTTATACAGTCGCCAAAAAGTGAGTAAAAATCAACTTTTTTTTTGCACTATTTGTAAAATAGTGCAAAAAAACACTATTTTTTGATCAACTTTTTTTTTGCACTATTTGTAAAAGTTATTAAAGGCAAATGCAATATTGTTCAACACGCAGCATCATAAATGCATAAAAAATGTTCATCAGTTTTTATAAAATAAAAGCTAGAATCTTTTTTTTTTCTTTAAATTTTTAGCTGCTTATGATGAAAAGTTACAATCATTGAGCTTGTATGGTCATATCCCAATGTAAAACACGGCCATTCTTTCAGAGACATGGGCTGGATATCAAATTTTTGCTAAAATCCTGTAATTATAAAAATATACACATGGTGGAGCAACTATGCAAAATTTTCTTAAACTTTTCTAAAAAATTTGTTCAATTTTAATACGATAATAAAAAACTCTTAAAATAAACTTAATTATATTAATTTTACACCAATTCTCACAGATGATAAGTATTTATAAATTACTCCAAGTTTGTATATATATACATATATATATATATATATATATATATATATATATATATATATATATATATATATATATATATATATATATATATATAAATTTAAATGGAACTTATTCATCTCTTTTCTATTTTTTGTTCTTAAATTTTAGTAAATAAATGCTAATGATTAATGGTAATTTTTAACGCATTATGTATGAACAAATAAAAAGTTAATTGGAGTTAGTAGTAAATCTTTCAAAATTTTTTTTATACGTATAATTTTAAAAGTAATAAAATACTTTTGCCGTACCTAGTTGACCTAATTTTTTACTAATTTTAGTGTTTACCTGATGTTGGTGTTTACTTAATGTTGGTGTTTACCTAATGTTAGTGTTTACCTAATATTTATGTTTACTTAATGTTGGTGTTTACCAATGTTGGTGTTTATGTAATGTTTGTGTTTACATAATGGTAAAAGTAAAGGTATTTTTTACATTGAAAATAGAATATCTTCTAAGGACAAAGTTTAAAAATTCTTATATTTTGCCAAGTTATTCTACTATATACGCCTAAATTCATACATCCAAAAGGTTTTCTTGGGGATTACCTAAACCATTAACCCTGAATCTAATTTTAGCTTTCATGGTTGTAATTTTTTTTACAAAAAACTTTATATTGTTTGTTAAATGATTTATGATAAATTTTCCTTTCTATTTAATATGTTTTGCAATGTGTTGCAATTGTTTTATCTTATGTATAACCTTATTCAGTGGTATACCTTCCAGTTTTTTCCGGTCGTCCTGCGATTACTAAAATAGTTGTTTTTTTCTTATTCGAGTTGTCCTCTATGATTATCAGTAATCCAGTATAATATTATTTTTTTTTGGTGTTTTTTCTCAGGTGAATTTATATTAAAGAAAAATTTTTTAAACATTTCACTACTAAAAACGTCTAATAAGAAACGGTTTAATAAAAAGTAAATTAATTAATAAAAAAATAGAAAGTTATAAGCTGTTAAAAAATTTTTTTAAGTAGATCTTATTGTTAAGCTTTTGTTACAAAGATATTGGTTAAAGAGATAACTATAAATACAGTTAATAGTTATTGAAAAACAAAAATAGCATGTGTGAATTTTTAATTGAAAATTTGCTAGAAAACAGCAATATAATGTGTAACAATAGTTATCTAGAACTTTTTCTAGTTATATCATTTGTAATTTATCAAATATATTTAGCACTGTTGTTTTGCACAAAGGGGTTTAGTCAAAAAGTTTACAAAATTGAAATAAGTATTGATTTAGTATTCTGTGGTGTAAGTTTATTGTTTCATGCTAAAAAATGATCCTTCTGATGCTTTGTATACATTATGCTTTTTGTAGCATAACTCTCAGCTGCAAATTTTTTTATCAGCAACAGATAAACAATAATCAGCTGTATTTTTTGTCCTTATTTATTTATAACAAATTTTTTATATATAATACCAAATTAACTTTTTTACTTTACTTTTTTACCTTTACTTTTTTACTACTAAATTGAATTCTAAATTTAAAAATTTTTACATAAATTTATATTTGAATAAAAATGTACAAATATCATATAAAGGTTGTCATTAAAATACCACTTAACATATTAATAACTATTATTAAAAGCTATTAAAATCTTAAACCATGCAATTGCCATCAAATTCTAGCACTTTCCATAATAGAATTAAATTATTGAGTTATTGCTTAGTTTATGTTCTTTTGTTTATAAGTTTTAGTAATTTTCTTAGTCAAGACTTTTCATGGAAAACAAAGTAGTGGAAAAACTGATTAATTAAAATGGGTTAGAAATGCTGACCTGAGAAATGCTGACCTGAGAAATGCTGACCTGAGCTCTTGGAAAAAAAACTTTGCTATTATTGCTCATTTAAGTGGTGAAAAATTATTAAGGAAAACAAAGCACAAAAGATAGTAATACAGATATAAATGGAAATACAAAGTATGAAAGATCTAAAAGGAAATCAATAGGAATCAACAGAATGTAATTATGTTTTACTTTCCTTGAATTAGGCTGCTGAATAAAGGTCTATGGCACAAAGCCTCAAATTTTAGTTTTTACAGCTTTATGTATTAGTTTAATTCCATAAATTGTAAATGCAATTAAAATGTTATAATTTGGCTATAGTCCAGTAATTTATTTGTTGGAATTCTCCAACTTGAAATATTGATTAGATTTCTGACTTGAAAGATTGATTTTCCTTTTTTCCTAATTTTACTTGTTGTTAACAAATAAAATTTCAAAAATAAGTATGTTTCAATGTAATTAGGCTTTATAATTGCTAGAGGCTTTCTCCTTTTTCTCTATTAGATGGTTCTGACCATACAATAATCTCTTTAAATCTTTCATTTTGCACTTTATTTTTGGACTGACCCTATCATCGCACTACTTACTACTACCCTAAAGCTTACTGGGACTCTTTTCATAATTTTCTTTGTGACAGTCCTTGGGCTGATGTCGTTTCCCTCTCATCTGAAAAATGCGTTTACATAACATTGAGGATTCAAGCAGGAATGGATGTTTTATTCCTTTTTGTTAGTTCCAAGTCAAGCTTAATTCTACTCCATAGTTTTCACCCTCTTGTGCAACTACTAAATCTAAACGTAATCTTTTTTTTCATCTTTTTAAAGAACAACTCCCTTAAGAACAAACAGCTATTTATTATTGCAAGAAATCGATGTAAAAAGGTGCTGTCAGATGCTAAGCTCTGTTATTCTCAGTTCACTAAATTTTGTATCTTATTTCAGAAGTTAGGCTCTAGAGACTTTAGAAAATCTTCAACAACTTTGTTAATATTCATTCATGGGACTAATCTTATCACCTCTCCCAAGGATAAGGCTGAACTATTTACAATGATTTTTTCTTTTAATTCAACTTTTGAATCTTATGCCCATTCTCTTCCTCCCATTCCAATTAAACAGGTTAACCCATTGTTAAACATTCAAATCACTCCAGCTTCCATTGCTAAAGTCATATCTCAATTAAACTTATTAACGGCATGTGGTCCAGACAACATTCCTGTCACAGTCTTACAAAATTGTTCTCTCTTCAATGTTCTCTAAAGTATTTAATAAGTGCTTGACTGAGTCTTGTTTTCCTGTCTGCTGGAAAATGGTATCTTTTATTCTTATTTATCTTTTATTCTTATTATCTTATAAAAATTAGGTAAACATTCTGACCCCTCTAATTATTGTCCAATCTGTATTCTTTCTGTTATTAGCAACCCTTTGAGTCTTTAAAAAACAAATTTCTGATGTCCCATCTTGCAACTTTATATTCCTATTTTCTGGCGACTCAGCTTTATAGTTCTGTCTTGACAAAAAGTCTTCTTTTTTTTATTGCTTAAAACAGACCTTTAGTCTGATCTCTTTTCTGTAACAGATTGGGGCTCACAGTGTCTAATAAATTTAAACTCCAACAAAATTAAGTTATTTACTGCAAACAACTATTGCAGTACTGTCATCATTCCTATATTGATAAATGGCAATCCTTTCACTGAGTTTTCTTCTTTACATGTTCTTGGATTATCGTTTACTACTGACTTTTCATGGAAACCATATATGCAATTGATTGCTAAATTAGCATCTACTAAGGTTTCTTCTCTTTATCGTAGTTGCCATTTTCTCTCTCTTTATTCCATTTTCTTCAATTACAAATCTTTTATTTGTCCCTGTATGGAATACTGTTGTCATTTTTGGGCTGTTTCTTCAATAGATACCCTTTCTTTTCTAGACAAGTCCAAAAATGCATTGTAAATGTAGTTAGATCCGGTCTATCTGCTAAACTTGAGTCTCTTTCCCATCATTGTAAAGTTGCATCTCTTTCTCTTTTCTACAAATACTACCATGGCCGCTGCTCAAAAGAGCTTTTATCTCCTAAAACTCATTTTTGCTTAACTTGTCATTCCTCAAAATCTTCTTCTTTTGTATCTATCCCTGCATTCTTCAAAAACTTTTATTTGTCTAGCTTTATTCCCTGCACCTCAACCCTTTAGAACTCTCCCCCATCTTCATGTTTTCCTGAATCATATAACCTTCAACTTTTTAAGTCTTCTGTCAACTGTTTTCTTACTTTATAACTCTATTCTCTTTTTTCAACTTAATATTGGTTGCTTGCAGCCTTGTTGCTTTTTTTTCTTCTTCTCAACAAAGTCTTTTTGCAAAATCTTTCAAAATCTTTCTCTTTGAGTGA